CACTAGACTTCAATGCAGATGCCAGTGATGCTGTCCGGTATCTCACAGGCCCAAAATCTGCTCTGCCTCCACACGCTCACTGGGTACATCTGGCTGGTTCAGCTGATGCTGCCACAGGTCTTGTACTGGGCCCAGACTCTCCTCCATTGCCTCTATGAATCTGCACTGGACGCAGACGTGGCCAGGAACCTAAACTCACCTCTGACTCTCCCATGAGTCTGCACTTCTAGGCCCACACTCTGCAGTTGATGCTGTCACCGTGACCAAGCTCTTCACCAAGATGTAGGCGGAACCAAAAGAGGAAAAGAAAAGCGGATGGAGCAGATGGGCCCCAGGCTCAGAAGCCCTACTCCATCATCTTATCGGAAGCTCAGTCTATTATTTGACTAGAAAACATCTAGCACCTTGGTGAATGCCTAAAGTGAACCAACGTCCACCTCACTTCCAGACAGTGGATTCCAGTCCCAAAACATTTGAGAAAAAAAAACTTTTTCCACGCACATTCGCTACTTTTGCGAATCACATTAAATATATGCTCTCTCATTCTGAATCTATTAAAAGCTTGAACAATCTCTCCCCATTTCCTCAGGAGGAAATGTCTTTCTTAACCATTCCTATACCTACACTTGTGGTGGTTCCATTATTGCTATTCAGCGATACTATAAATTAGAAGAATCATTCACTGAGATACTTCTGACATGTCACTGCTGTATTGTAGGAAACACGGTAGTCAATACGTACACTTGTAGTGCTTTGAGTAGTACTGGTTAAAGGACAGCATTGTCTCAATAACGTGATAGAGATTTTTTTTTGGAGAGGTGACAAAAACAAAATTGAAGGAAGCAGAGTGGCAGACACTGTCTACATGGCCTCCAGTACAACATTTGACAAGGTTCCACATGATAGACTGGTTAGTAAAGTTAGATCACATGGGATCCAGGGGAAGCTAGCCAATTGGATACAAAATTGGTCTGACAGTAGGAGACAGAGGGTGGTGGAGGGTTGCTTTTTGGACTGGAGGCTTGCGACCAGCGATGTACTGCAAGGATCAGTGCTGGAGTCTGCTGCATTTTGTCATTTTATAAATAGAATGTAGGAGGTATGGTTAGGAAGTCTGCAGACAACAAAATAGGTGATGTAGTAGACAGTGAAGAAAGTTATTTCCAAGTACAACAGGACCTTGACCAGATGAGCAAATGGGCCAAGGAGTGGCAAATGAGGTGTTGCATTTCGGCAAGGCAACCCAGGGCAGGATTTATACACTTAATGATAAGACCCTGGGGACTATTATTGAACCAAGAGCCCTAGGGGTGTAGGTGCATAGTTCCTTGAAAGTAGAGGCACAGGCAGACAGGGTGTGAAGGCAGCATTTGGCACGCTTGCCTTCATTGGTCAGAATATTGAGTATAGGGGTTGGGACATCATGTTGCTACTATACAGGACATTGGCTAGGCCACTTGTAGAATACTCCATACAATTCTGGTCACCCTTCTTTAGGATGTTGTTAAACCGAGATGGTGCAGAACGGATTTACAAGGATGTTGCTGGAATTGAAGTGTTTGGAGTTATAGAGCAAGGCTAAATAGGCTGGTGCTTTCCCCACAACTTTCTACCCACCAAGCAAAGACTGAACACAACAGAATGTTGATACACTGTGTGGGGGAGGAGGCAGTGCTGATCAAAGGGAACTCTGCAATGAGCCTGTCTGTTTACCTGGCTTGAAGGACACAAGGCACCATTAGGGTGGAGGTATACATGCATGAAATGAAAATGTGGTGAAAAGTATGCAATGCAATACGGTCTTATGTTTGATGTGGTATCAAACACAAAAACGCATAAAGAATAGCTTTCAAAGGGCTTTAAAATGTGTACTCAACATAACTAAGATTAGGTAAGACTTAGTCATGGAGCACAGAAATAATAACCATCATGACAGGACGATAGATAAAACAAAATTTGCAACTACACAAGACTGCATGCCAAGTGACAGTGAGTCTCCCATTTCCTTGGCAACAGCAGAAAGGTACAGTCTAGATTGGAATTGGGAAAGGATGATCTACTGCTTTAAAGTCTTGATGTGATATCTATTTCTGAAGATCAATTTTTATCAAGTGTATTTCACTGACGATAAGATTTAAAAGCCTAGGTGTGTTAAAGTAGGGCATGTAAATAAAAAAGGCAAGTTAGCATTATTGATTAGTACAATCCAATGTAATAGGATTGAGATTAATAAACTAAGTTGCACAAAATGACATTCAATAATACTGTTAAATTGCATACAGATAGTACAGTAAGTTAGGAATGCAATAATAAAGGTGTACTCCACTAATTTTGTACAAAGTTATACTAAAGCAAAACAAATTACCAGCTCACATTCCCATCTCAGGAAAGCATCATTAACACATGTACATAATTAAGCAGCATGAAAAGACAAGCTGATTTATTAACTGTCCCCCACAGCACAGGGGGCAGAACATGACAACTAAACACTCTTTCTCAGCCATGTAATCTCCCAGAAGAAAATCATCACTAACCACTTTAGGATATCACCGGGGCATATAGTGCCATTTACAAAGCCATATTCTTCAATCACCAATCATGGATCCATGTCTTCACAGAGGTGCTGTTTTACACTGCTATAAAGAGATCAGGAATACAAATACCACCCTGACTTTCTTCATTGCAAAAGCCTTATTTATACTTGGCAATACCACAGAATTAGTGTTTATATCTAGTGCATCTCAATGAAATAGCACCTCTAATGAAACCACTAAGAATACAGCACCATTGACTCCACCTCATTTATTATATTTCTGCACTATATTTGTAGGGCTACTGGGGGTGTAACTGATTGGATAGCTCTTTCAAAAAGCCAGCACAGATATGATGGGCTGAATGACCCTTCGTGCAGTTATGTTAACTGTTTTAAGGGATTACAACGATTATCAATGAACTCAGTCACTCCCCTTTTCAGACGGCAGCTCTTTCATTTAATAAATAGTATTTAAGCCACAAGATTTACATCATTGAACAGGAATAGACCGAACAGTCCCACATTTTAAATAGCTGATCTCCACTTACCTGCCCGATTTTCCTACCCCTTGATTTGATTTTAAGAATCAATCGTCTCAACCCTGAATAACTGAACACCTACAACTCTTTGGAGAATTAACCTTGTTTGAAGGAACTTCCTCGTTTTAGTCTTAAATAATCAACCCTTATCATCTTGAACCTGAAACCCTAGGCTCCCACTTTAGAGGAGAACCCAGAAAAGAGAAGGTTACAAGGTGGTCAGCAATGGTATAAACTCGTGTGTCAAAACGCCAAATGGTGACATTGCATAAGCAAACAAATCGGGCAAAAAAAAAAAGTTTATACAGAGGCAGAGCTTTTAGGGTTGACTGGAGGTCACTGACTTGTGAGACAAAGGGTGTGGAGGTGGAAGATTGATTTGGAGGACAAGGAGTCACTTGCTGCAGAGTTTAAGAGGAAAGAACTGCATAACTTGAATGTGCAGTATTCAGTGAGGACAAGGGGGCTGGAAAATGGCAAGATGTTCGAGGCAGTGAAGGTGCAAGAGGATTATGGGTACAGTCCCTGCTAGTTTGAGAAACAGAGATCGAAGGAGGATTCAGTAAAGAGCAAGCTGTCAACATTCATTAATCAAAATTTCAGATGCAGTCAGGATACCAATGCAACTAATCAATTAAAGGTCACAGACAAGGGCACTGGAAAATTTGGAATGTGTTTGTCAAGAAGCACATCTTCACACAAGGGGTAGTGAAAATCCAGATCACACTTTTACAAAAGGCTGTTAAGGTCGGGCATCAAGAGATAAATTTCAAAGTGGACTGTTAGGATAGGTTATGAAACCAAGGAAGGCAGATAATGGAATCTCTTATGATTAAATAAATCAAACAACTTGCATTTATAAAGCACCTTTGTCACAGCAAAGCATCCAAAGACATGAGCTTAAATAAAATTTGATACTGGCATGTCTCAGAAAGAGATTGCACACTTGGTGATGTGAAAGAAGGGATTTCCCACCTGTGAGTAAGCATTCCAATGAGATCACATCTGCTAAAAAGAAAGTTAGAGAATTTATGAGCAAAAGTGTTATGCTAATAGCGTTTGAAACCACTTGTACAAAAAGGTGTAGGAATGAATTAAGTAAAATAGCATCTTTTTTTAAAAAAATGCCCTATCAGTTTAACTCTGAATATTTATCTGACAATGTTTCTTTGAGTGGTGTTCTCACCAATACAAAGACACAGTGACTCCATTAAACAAACATTCACAGTTCACTTTATTTTTCATGCATAAAATACTCACTATAAAATGGGAACACAGTACCAGACCAAGATTCTGGAGAAATTCAAACAGGGTTTTGACAGCCCTTGTAGAACTGTGATGCTGTCCAATTAACTGTGCCAAACTAAGAATCTAGACAGTACAGCAATCCAAATTAGCTACTGGATGAAAACCACTGAGCTCCTACGGTTTAGAAAAAAAGAGTTCAGAAAGATACACACATACATGCAGATTTGATTGTGAAACTACTTAATATGCATAAACAATTTCTTGCCTCAACATGCCAGTCATTGCTTCCCTAACATTAATTAAATCAGATAGCATTAAAATTCTTCCAACCACTTCAATGCCACCTTTTGCATTATTAATACCTTTCCATTACAACCATTTTGAATAACACTCAGGGCAGTACTGTTGTGTGGTTATGTGCTCAATTCTTAGTAAAGATGCAGGATCCAGAAGAATCCAACGGCAGTCAAAGCACACAGATATTCAGGATCTAGTTCTGAAAGATAATTAACAGGGGGATGACTTCAGGACACCTGCCTATATATACAGTAAGCATTTTTATATGCTAATGATCCCATGTTTCTGTCGATGATAGTCCACAATTATTGAAACCTGTAGGTCAAAGTACAGGATTAAATGTCTGAGTGGAGGAATTCAAAATAAAGCTCAAAAATCAAACATTGAACAATAAGCAGCATATTTTATGGTTCAGGTAATATTACACATTTTGTACAGTTCAGAGGATGTCATGCTGCAATCTACACCATGAACACTTTACACATCAATCCATAACAGCTCTGTCAAGAGAATTCTCACAAGTTTCTCAAAATGGGAACTTGGAGTTATACTGCACTTCTGAAAAAGTAGCTTCTGAAATCAGCTTTGAGAGCACCCCACCTTATTTAGGAAGTGAAAATAGTAAGCTGTGTATAATGCAAACACGTTGCTAACAGCATCACCTGGGGTTGGAAACGATTAGCACTGCAAATCTTTGAAATACACAGCAAGAAGGGAAGCAGTTCCTAAATTTCAATGGATTGCAGGTTTAGGTAGCACAAATCATTAAAAATATTATACAAAGTTGAAATACATTTTCAAGAGGGAATTTTATTTTTTCTAGAAGAAACTACTGCCTTCATCACCGTATGACTGATGCATTTAAAACTCAAATGCACTCTCTGCCACCGACCCGGTCAACACCTTTGTTTTAATTTAGCTTGCAACCTTACAGCAACTTTTCAATATGATTAGCAATATGTTTAAATGATGTTTTATTTTTAATAATCAATTGCATCCAGACGGAAGAGGATAAAGCTGGGCAAAACAAAAAGGGCACAACCATTAATAGGTGGCAAGCTTGTGTAAGTTACAAATACTATTAGAGAGATAAAGTTACAACTTAGAACTCAAAAATGGCTACACTCCAGTTGACTGTGAACTGCTTTGTGAAATGACCCTCACTTGGTTGCAGACCACCTTGCAGCCTTTTCAGGGAAATAAGAGCTGGAAATTATGTGCCAAGCTTGTGGGTGATACCCACACCTAGGGGTGTTTACAAAATTAAAGCTGCATTACTTTACAATTTTCCACTACTGTAAAGAAGCTTCATCCAATAAAGTGCTCTAACCACAGCTAGCACTGCACCAGGAACCTCAGCCTGAGGAGACAAAGGCCAAGGATCTCTATCAAGTCACCACTCCAATTAAAAGCAAACAAGAGGCAGTTGAATAAAAGAAATCTGAAATTTATTCCAAAACATGAAGTTAACAGAGCTTTAGAGGCACAAAGTCTTCCATCTTTTCAGAGCCAAGTTCAACCTGTCAATTCAAAATGATGCAAATTCAAAATTCTTTTAGTCTAAGAAAGACAACAAATGGCATACAGATCCAGAGTACTCAGACTACTTCAAAACTGTTACTACGATTAACATTACCTTTGAGAACTACCACTGAGGAGGTGGCTGTAATACTCAATAGAACACATTAGTGCAGTTTATCCTCTCTTCAAGGAGAGCTTTAAAACAGAAAAATAGAAACAATCAAATTTAACAGACTCAGCTCAAACTGTGATGAGTCACAATGCAAATAGAGTGGACAAAATATGCAAACTACTTTTTCCAAATTAGATCAGTTTTTCAGCATTGCACTTTCTTCAAATTTTTACTAATTCAAACTTCTCCCCCATCTCTCTAATCCAGGAGTGTAAACGCACACACCTCACTGCGGTACAGAGATCACCTAACTCAGCAGACAAGATGACTCAAATATTCCTTGGTCTCCTTTACTGTGCTACTCAAAAAAAACCTAACCAGAGTAGAAAAACTGCAAAATCAAGCTCTGGAGGGTACAGATTGGATTCGATCAGATCAGAGGCAGCATCAGGTAATTGCAATTTATAGTATTTATCCAATATTGAACACCTGGTAACAACTCCCAAAACAAAGCACTATTGCTGCCAAGCATCAACACAGCCACTGATATCATGAACAGCCGATACTAGCAAAGGTTTATCTCAAAATGGATTAGCACCCCTATAAACGTATTTATAAATAACAGCACAAAATATAGGTGCAGTATAATTAATGCAGATCGTGAGTATATAACCCCTTAAGTCATTTAGTCCTCAGTTTTGTATACCATACAAGTTTAGGTAAATCATTCTCCTAATAGTTAATAGTGGAATTGGCATGAAGCTGAGCAAGAGCCTGACATCTCAAGGTGGTAGTGGGGCAACGAGGAACAAAGAGGAAACCAAAAAAGACAAAAATCCTTTTCCACTGCCCCCAATATTACTCAACTCACCCCATAATGGTTGCCCACTGAACAGTAATATTTTTCATCTTCTGATAATAGCCATTCCCCTGGTACTATTGGAGACAACTTAAACATTTAGCAGAAACTGTAGAAAGAAGTCAATTAGCCTCATTTCACGTTACACTCCCAAAAAGGTGGGCAAATGAGAATGAGTCCAAGTGTCTTCAACTTTCAATAAAGATCAGACTTCAAGCCATTTCTCAGGTAAAAGGCAGCACTTAAATACTTACCTGCGATTTTAATTTAGCTATTATAACAGTTTAATTCATCTCAAGAATAGGTCAGATTTAAAGAACTAGAACCACTCGAAAGAGGACATGTTACAGTGTTAAAATTCAGAGCCCAGGTAATCTTTTCCTTAAGCCATCTATTCAATATGGTACAGGTGACCCTCTGCCATCATCTTGAAGGGGCAAAAATAAAACCTACCACAACAGGGGACCTTGGGATCAAAGCAGTTTCAGTCTTTTTGGCACCCTCTCATCAAAAACAGCTTTTTTGAAACTGCAATGTTGGATTTGCATGCCTAAAAAACATGGCAGATATAGTTCTTGAGTTGCTGAAATTGTGCATATATTTTACATGGTGCTGTGTTTAGAGTCTAATCTACTGAAGAGACCCAACTTCTGCAAATAATTTAGAACAAGGCAATACTCATCCCCATACCTCTCTTTTCAACTAAAATAAAATTTCATACTGCTCAGAAAGGAGAGAAGGACACAAGGCTGGATTTAATACTTACCGGAAAAATCAGTCATCAGAAATAGCTGTCACACAGACAATTCATTTGAGATCAATAGACAAAAATTTATACAGCAATGCAGCTTTAAAATTCTAAACCGATGGAAGTCACAATATTTTTTTTGTTGTAGGACAATATACACCTAGTTGACCGGCTGCAAGCAGTCAGCAAACCTCTAGCCCCACTACGCTTTCCTTTTGGTAAAAGGTCATCTCTCTGCCCTGAATGTCATGTGTGAATGCAATAAATTTTGCTGATCAGGATGCATGCTGACATTATTATATCAAGAATTAATTTCAGATATCGTAAGCCTGTGTCCTCAGAAAAAAAAACACGTTAGTCTAACAGCTTCATGTTTTTACTTGTGTCTTACACAAAACCTCCAAACTACATCAAGGGCCAACACAAATGGTGGGTGGGTGGGTGGGGGGGGTGATTTCAAAAAATAAAACTCAAATCAAAATTAGGTCTTGCATAATTCCTTTAAGCCAGTATTCCTTGCAGTTTGTTTTCATTCCAGTCACATTAGTTCGTAAATAAATTGGCCATCGAGGATCCTTCTTAGGTGTACATCATTTCGGCCATGTGAGACATTTTCTTCGGAATGTACAGGTAATATTCCATATATCCCGAAAGATCTTCAATTGTGATGTCTTCAACAAATGTCCTGGCCTCCTCAGAGCAGGAACGCGGGGAACCCGAGACCCCAGAGCCTGTCTGAGTTCTTCTGCAAGGTGACGTGTGCTGGCGGGCCTCAGCCACGCCTCTCTCACATTCCGATATGACACTGCGAAGCCCAGTGAAGGAGTATACCTCAACATCTTGCCATCGTTTGCAACAGCATTTCTCCTTTTGTGAGCAGCAGCATGGGTTGGTCTGGTGAAGCTTTGACAGGGACTGGAAATCAGAGGTTGGCTGGCTCAACTCCAGGGCTGTTGCGGATGCCAGTTTTGGAAAATCAAGAGGGGAGCTGCTGCCAGATTCAGCATCATTTCCAGCAGTGTCTTCTGATGATTCTAAGGTGAAGACGGTGGGAACTTTAGCACCGAACACATCTTCAGGCTGTCCGGCTTTGCAGCACTCTTTTGGAGTTTTGACAGCAAGGCCCTGGTAGGCCTCTGTTTTGTTGCTATGTTTAACCTGACAACTGGCTGCAGGAGCTGCAGAACTACAATAGGCAAATTTAGGAGGATGAAGAATTGGTGATTTGGAACGTCGTCTTCGCTGTGTTCGGATAGCCCCTCGAGCTGGCTTTCTAGTTGAACTACAGATTCGCATTTTCCAGGAGTGGGCAAGTTAACAAAAAAAAAAGGGAAAAGAAAAAACATTTTAGAACATCTGGTTTAACAGCTCCAAAACTCTTACAGTCTGCACTTACTGGATAAATTGACATTGAAAACAGTGCAAAACCAACATAATACAGCTCTGTATAGAGACTAACTTTCACTGACTTAATACTATCACTCCACTTTTGAATGGACAGAGTAACAGTGAATTGTCTGATCTGAAGAGTGACATTTCTGATAATATACTCTAATGTCAATGTTCATTATATGCTCAAACTTTTGAGCTGGGGATTGAACCTATACCCCACCTAGACAGAAGCTCTGACAACTAAGGCAAGCATACATTTTTGAAGGTGACTCACTTTCCGCCCTGCAGGCAAGCATTAGCTTGGTTGGACATCTCATTTCAAGGGAAGTTTCAACTCCCCATTTTGTTAGTGTAGACCATCAAAATCCATAGAACAGCAATGTGCCTGCACATTCATGTTTTTCGTATAGGGAGGGAATGAAGGAAAGAAAAACAAATGGAATGATGCATATTTAAATAACACCTTTCATGTCCAGGGCACAATCCAAACAAACAAGGAAGCTTATCACAACTAGTGATTTAAGGTTCTTGCAAAGATTTGGAGCTTGGGTGGTGGATGAGCTTGTTGGCTTGCTCGCCGAGCTGGCTGGTTATTGTACAAATAACCAGTTAGCTCAGCAAGCAAGCCAACAACCACAACTAGTGACGTCGATTAGGGGTTGGTTACCTGTTTAAATCAGCTCCAAATTATCAAAGTCAGAAGCCACACAACACCAGGTTATAGTACAACAGGTTTATTTGAAATCACAAGCTTTTGGAGGAAAGCCCCTCCGTCAGGTCACTTCACACTTCTGAAAACTTGTGATTTCAAATAAGCTTGTTGGACTATAACCTGGTGTCTTGTGACTTCTGACTTTGTCCACCCCAGTCCAACAGCAACACCTCCACATCAAATTATAAAAAAAAAAGAGAGAATCCATCCACTCAATTTAAGTTTTGAATTTAATTTAGCAGAATTTACAACACAGATGCCAGAAGAGAAAAAGAAATGCAAGGTTCCTCTCAAGTAGGATATAAAGCTGCTTCCAGGTCAGATAACAATATCCTGGATTCCACTTAGCAAACTTAGATTTGAATGTTGAGCACACCCACATTCTCATTTTAAATTGTCATATTCACAAAACCAAGCAACAAGCTTGTTTAAAATGCTGTAATAACTTTTACTTTGTTGATTGTTTAGTTGTTAATGCTAAGAGTTTAATGAAAATGCACAGAGAAAAAGATTTTGAACTTAAGGAGCACTCAGATCATACAGGAAGGATCAAGAGATTCCTCATATCTTGTGCCTTTTTTTCCAAAACTCTTTTTACAGAGCATGATTCTCCCCTCCCTTTTCAGTTGGTCTTCATTTTCTGTTCTGAGCTTCAGAACATCAGGATGCTGGGAAAGCAGGAATGTGCTTAGAATACTAAATTGAAGTGCTCTAAAGAAACTACTCCAATATAATTGCTAAAACACAAACAACCATTCAATCATGAACACTTCAGCCAAGCTGAGAAAGATTTGCAATATTATAGAACCACAAACTGGAACTGGCTCCTACGAAGGAGTTTTGAAAAACTGTAGGCGGATTCTACCCAAATTTACTTAAATCAATGTTAAGTAACAGATTGTTACCCATGCCAGCTTTCTTTGGAAGTACATGTTGTCCTAGGTTTAGCTCCATCAGGACTGCCTCGTACAGATGTCCTTGAAGTTGTTGTTTCAGGATTTACACGGACTGATGCAGGTCCGGCACTGCGAAAAGAAACACGTATGAAGGCAATGTTAAGATCCTAGCACGTTACAAATACTTTATTTTACTAGTTCCCAACATGTAAACTCTGTTTTATTTCACGCGTGGAATGTGGGCATCACTGGCCAGCCATTATTTATTGCCCACCTCTAGCTGCCATTGATAAGGTGATGCCTTCTTGAACCGCTGCAGTCCATGAACTGTAGGTAGTCCCACAATGCCCCAAGAGAGGGAACTCCAAGATATTCAAATGTCATGGGTTTGGAAGGTGCTATCTAAGGATCTCTGGTGAATTTCTGCAGCGCATCTTGTAGATAGCGCACACTGCTGCTTGCAGATGAGGACCGCTTTGTCCTGGATGGTGTCAAGCTTACAGTATGGTTGGAACTGTGCCCATTGACAGTGTTGAATTCTTGGAATTTGGCATTTATCACAATATTTGTAGAAATACTTATTAATCATCATCTCCATTAATATTTATCAACTCTTTTATATCATATTCACTAGAAACATCTTCATTCAGATGCCATTTCCATTGATCTGAAAATCAGTGATGTATTCTAGCTAATATAAAAATACAGTAATCCCAGAGACTACAATATCTATTTCTGCATCTCTAAGCAAGTGATTTCATCCAATCACCTACTTGGAGAATCAATCCCAGGGACTAGTCTACAGACTCAGAAACCAAGGATATATTTTTAAAAGCCAACATGACTCAGCAATGGTGCCCTTCCTTCACATCTCCTACTGTGAGGATAATAAATGAAGTGTTCTACGTAGAGAATGCAAGATAATTCTGGAGCTTACTTTAGCTGTCCTGGTGAGGCTATGTAACCTTTTCCAGAACTGTAAAAGAATGGCTGGGGTGGGAGGGAGTAGTCCAGAATTAGCATTAATGAATATATACTCTCCCTCAGTACATCTCCCACTCCATCTTAAAGTGGTTTCCCTCAGTATTGAACTGTGGCCATTACTTATAGTGCACTCTAACAGTATCTTTAGTTACTTAATTTGACCACTTCCAATACAGTCACTTAAACTGACGTCCTACCTTACACTACTACATCAGTTTCATGAACTGATGGTCTGACATTATCAGGACTCAAGAAGTGGCACACAGTCTTCTCTAGCAAATATGATGCACTGCACATGACCTAGGTTCCCTCACGAGCAGCAGGCACTAAAAAGAATCCTGGTGGTATGGAGATACTAGGAACCGCCAATGCTGGAGAATCTGCGATAGAGCTGGATGAACACAGCAGGTCAAGCAGCATCAGAGGAGCAGGAAAGCTGACGTTTTGGGTCTGGACCCTTCTTCAGAAATGGGGGAGGGGAAGGAGGTTCTGAAATAAGTAGAGACAGAGAGAGAAAGAAAGGTGTGAGAGAGAGAGTGTGTGTGAGAGAGAGAGAGAGGGGGGGAGGCGGATGGAAGATAGATAAAAAGAACAGATAGGTGGAGAGGAGACGGACAGGCCAAGGAGGCCTTATTATCCCGGATGGTATGGAGATAACATTTGCTGCTACAGCCACATCCCTGCACAGGATTTCTGATTCTCCACTCTAATAGTGCATCACTCCTGTACTGTATCACCACACTATCATCTGGTGCAGAATCCCCAACATTAATGTCATTGCCTGAACGTTCAGCTAAATGAGTGGATATTTATGTATCACTGTTGTTTCTACTTACTGCTCAGAGTCCACTTTAAGTTTTTTGAACGCCATCTGCAGGCTCTCTTCATCCTCACCACCTTTGCTCTCCGATTCCATGACTGGAGCAAAAGCCTAGGAGTAGATGCTATCTGAAACAAAGAATACAAGCATGCTTTCAATTTTGGGCCAATTCAAAAAGTATGCTTTTAAAAAAAGTTTTGTTTTATACTTTTGAAAGATTTCTAAACAGTGTCTAGGAAAAACGCTACATATTCCAACTGCCAATATATTAATTCCCTACCCATTTAAAGTCAAAGCATCAAATTAAATTGAAGTTAGCCAAGTTCAAACTTGGCAAAGTAATTCTCTTTTCTGCCAAGCAAGGTAAGTACAGATGGAGAAATTGATTCACAAGCTTTACCCGGGATTTAAGACAAATTACTGATTTTCAAACCTGATCTGTATGATTGTTCCTATAATTTGAATGACAGTGCGTCTTTCCCAGCTGTTCAGATCTGTCTCAGAATATAAACAGAACATTTAACTTTACAAGTATTATATAATTAGGAGCACAAAGCTTTTAGCACAAAGTCCTATGAAGCCATCATTTCTGTAGTTGCCTTCCTGGTTTCCAGTTCCAATAATACCATTTCCCAATTTTGGAAAGTTATTGATGAACATGCATTCGACTTTTTAGGTCTTAATTTCTGGAATTCCTGGATAAATCCTCCTTAAAAATCTTACGTTTCTCATTTTAGCTTGGTACCATTTTAGTGTTTGACCAAAACAAAATCCCATGAAGTTCCCTGAAATATGTTCAAAACTCATACCATTCCACAGGCTCTCAATCCTCTGTGCAAGAAGTTTTTCTCTCTCCCTGTTCTCCATCCTAAACCTTTGAAATGCAACTATGTATCAATGACCTTACTATATACACCTCAATCACCGGAAACAAATCCCTTTCAAACTACCATGTCTGATCCTTTAATTGTCCTAATCTAATGAATGGACACACACTTTCAAACCTCTCTCTGGATTTGCATTGCATCATATTTGCGTTGAAACTTTACCATTACCTCAAAGGATCAATAACCAGAAGGCTGTCAATTCCAAAGGTGATGAAAAAAGCAGAGGTTACAAGAAAAGTTTTTGTTTTAACCATAGCAAATGGATTTTGAAGGGAGATTCAATCATAGCCTACAACTATCTTTCAAAAAGGGCATCAAATAGATAATGGAAGGAAAAACATTTGTAAATATACGGGGGTACAGCAGAGAAGTAGAACTAACTGGAATCCTTTCCAAAAGCACCAGTTCAGATTTGATGCATCAAAAGGCCTTTATTTTTATTCATTAGTGGGATGTGACAGTCATTGGCAATGCCAGCATTTATTATTCATCCCCAAATAACTTAAGGTAGCGGTGAGCCCTTATTTTCTGCAGCTGTTTTGGTGAAGGCAAACCCATAATGTTAAAATAGGGCCTTCCAGGATACTGACTGTTCTGTACTTCCCTACTGAATGATTCCATACTTGTATAAGTGAAGAAGCTTTGATCCCTGAATCTTTAAGGGTTTGGTGCCATCATGTGGCTAAGAAGATGTATAGCAGCATTTCAGCATTCCTAATCACATGGTTGGCTAGCCAACTATTGCTCAATTGCAATCATATAAAAGTATAATTCTACAACATCTGAAATGCTTTTAAGTTCTTCGATCAAGTGCAAATGGCCATGACCACAGTAAGTGAATTGCAATATACAAATCGGAAATGTAAAAAATTGTAGGCCTTTGGACGAAGAGAAGGGAGACTAATTATATAGTACTTTCAAAGAGAAGGTACAAACTGAATGATCTCATGCTGTTTGTTTTGATCATGTGATTAGTGATATTCAAGCAGCAAGTGTCAAGCGTTACAGATTACACATGGATAAAAGGGGATTCTTGAAGGGAAAATGGAGACAGTAATTTTAACTTGACAGTATACTGTGAAATCATACTCTTTCAATACATAGTGTGCACCATCCAGGTTTACTTCACGTTTAAAAAGTTGCAAGTTTCACCCTCCATCAACTGCGCCTTTAAACTACAGTACCCTTAACACGGAGTCCCAAGCTGCTTAAAAAGTTAGATAGTAGGCAGCTCAGCACAAGTGAAAAAAAGAACATGCTGAAAATATTCAGCAGTGAAGAGCGCATTTCTAGTTCTGAGGAAGGGTCACCGGACCTGAAACATTAACCCGGTTGTCTCCTCCACAGATACTGCCAGACCTGCTGAGCTTTTCCAGCAACTTTGTTTTTGTGAATGCATTTCTAGTGAATGTTTTTAGTTTCAGATTTCAGTGCAACGTTTTGCTTTGCAGATTAAGATCGGATTCAGACCCCAGTAAGGATTAAAAGGAAGTGAGCAATGCAGATTTTAAAAACGGGTATTGAGGAAAATATACATAAATGAGCAGGTAGGGTCAATTTTTCTTCATTTATGGTAGAACAGAGAAAAAAAAAAGGAAGATTGGTCAACAAAATGGAGAGCCAAGAGGCTGTGAGGAAGTTTCAAAGTCGGGATGAATAACATACTTTTAAATGAACATTTGGAACAACAGGAAACCTGTGCGGATTAAAGAAGATAGAGGTGATTAGAAAACTGGACAATGGAATATGGATAAATAACAGGTTACATTATGTGCAACCAGGTTCCATGAAACATGTGACATGGAAAAGATGGTTTGGACAAGGAGATTGAGCTACAGGTAGCTGGGAAATTCAGGTATACTGGCAATCCTGGATAACAAACCAATGTTCATGGTTTGAGCTTCAAATTCCAAACATCTCAGATCATGCATATACAGCTTCAGTTTTGGGAAGCAGTGTGGACAGTGAACTATTGCTTGGTCTTGTCCAATATAGCAGCTTCACTGCATAAATGTTAATCCCAAACAAAAAATGCTGTTGCTCATCCAGGATGGCAACAGCTAGATGGACAGGAAAATATAAAATTCAGGCAATAGTTGGAGGAAAGGATGGGTATCCTTGACACACTCACCTAAACTGTCCCCAAATTGTTTATTAATAGATAACATAGACATAGACAGGAAGGGTCCAGAATGCAACCTCAAGTCAAGCCAGCATTAAATTATGCAGGCAGAAAAAGAAAATCACTGTTAGAGGTGCTCGGATTACAATTTGAGTTAGAAATAAGATTGGGCAAAGCAAAATGTCATAAGTCATAGAGGTGGCATGTTGCATTACAGACATATGCATAAGTCAAACATCCAAAAGGGACAATTCATCACAGCTGCACTCAAGACTGTTGCAAGACTGTAAATAGCATGGTTTGACCAAGAAATGCAGCACACCAGGAGGTCACATGGCCCAGACTGGGTCAGACACTGTTGGTTGGGCGTAAAATCAGACTGAAGAGGAAATGGTGGGAGCAGCGGATGGTGACAAAATATTATAGAACAGAGGCAGAAATTATACGAAGTACAAATTGAACTGAGAAAGTACATCAAAGGTCATGGATCCAAACTTTCCAGAGCATCAGCATCATGTCAGAAAGTTCATAACATTACTTTGGACTTGGCTTTTGGATTGGGCAACGGAGATGAAAATCTTGGAATTATTTTACAACAATTGAAACTGAAGGAGGTTGGAGGGTGCATTTGGATGAAAAAAAAAGCAACAGAAAAAAAAAAAAAAATCGAAAGAAATAAATGTTCACAATTATCTTATGCTCCAAGGGAAAGCATAAAAATTACAAGGCACAGTAGAAAGCTTACATGACTGATGCTTTGCCATTATAAGGATCTTTACTAGTTATTTGCTAATCAACCTGCTCAGAGATGTTGTTGCATACCTCCAGAGTTGATATGACTTGACCTCAGGCCTCACAGTTCAGCGTTAGGGACACTACCCTGTGCTACAAGAGACCCATCAAACCTTCACATAGCAACACATTAAATACCATTCAGTTGCAGTAAGTGGCCATAACTACATTCACATGATACCAGTAGAAATGAGGCGTTAAACAATTTGCTACTGTAAGTGACGTAAAAGGAAATAAAATAAGGAACGATGTAGTATTGAAACAAACACTACTTATTTTCAAGTAAATATTTTCTTGTCAAAGTTTAAATAATGGACAGTGTAGAGAGTGGTTTGGACAAAGTTACACCTTTATTGCATAGAAAGCAGATGAACAATTGCAGGACTGATGAGGTCAGTTCTAAATAGGAGCCTTTGAACAAACAGTAGGGCAGAATCAGCTGCCAAACTTTAAAGATCAACAAGCAACCAAATTACTTTGCAAATATTACAGAAACATATTCAGGGAATGTGGAAAATGGACACTGTCTACACTGGGGAAGACTCAGTACCACTTCAAAGTCATGTTACAGCACAGACCAGCCTGAAGTCATTGCAGAGTTTAAATGCTAGCTGATTTCTTTCTCTGCTTTCCCAGCACACCGCTCATTGCCAGCCAAATTGTAATATTATTAGTGGATTAATAGCATAGTCAGATTTTTACTAACAGTAAAATAAAAATCATTCAACGTCAGTGTGCAAACTGACATACTTCCGTCACTTGACCAAGTTTGCTAAACTGTCAAATCTACAAACTCACTTTAGTGTTCCAAAGAGGAATCATATTGGACTCGATGCTAACTGTTTCTCTCCACAGATGCTGCCAGACAGTTAGCACTGTTTTTATTTCACTCACTATAATAGTTTGTGCTGCTATCAGTTTTAAAAATCACATTGGTCTATGCAAAACTACAGTTATACTGCTATCTCCTGTCCCAAAACCTTGGAGTTATCTGGAGGTGTTCTCCTCAGCCCACATCCCTAACAAGAGGCAGCAGATGTCCCAATGTGAACACTATTCCGATCTCCAATTTCTCTGCTAGATTAATACCAAAAGTCAATAAAAAGTCCTCAGCAACTCAAACACTAATTGATTTAAATTTGAAACAAAAGTACTGGAAATACTCAGGGTTGGTGCTATCTGGAAAGCCAGAAAGAGTTAATGGTTCAAGTCTGTCATTCTACAGAGACATCACGGACTTGAACCATTAACACACTCACTCTCCTGAAGGTACTGGGCCTGCAGCCCATTTCCAGCATTTTCCATCTTTATTTCAGATTTCCCACATGCACGGTATTTCTGCTGTGTGATACTGCAGTGATAAGACACAGACACAGGTCTCACATCATTCAAACTATGTTGGTATGACAGTCAAATGTATTTAATAAGGCTTTTTGTCCTAATTAGAATCAAAATGATATAGCACAGGAGGAGGCTATTCAATCGATCATGTTTGTCATTTCTTTGCAAGTTATTCAGTTCCAGCCAATTCTTCTCTCACAGTTCCGCAAGTTTCACAATTACCAAATCTGCCTCCATCACCCCTTCAGGCAGTTCATTTCAGCTCATGGCTCACAATAGAGTTTTTAAAATTACAGCCTTCAATTCTTTTGCCAATTAAAGTCTGCCGTGTCTAATTCAACAATATTACACATTTGGTAAATATTATGAGGACAGTCTTTTCACATGCATATATAAATTAAAAAATAAAGCTATCCAATCTTTAAATCAGTATTTATTTTTCTGATGGCATATTTGCTATCTTCTGCTTTTTGGAAGGAACAGGGAAATTGCTGAGGGCATCAGACAAATTCCCCAACAAATAGTTTAACAATAATTACTGATCAAGACAGCCCAAGGGAATGGACAAGAGCACACACTTCCATTTGTAAAAGTTTTTGGCTGCACACAGGAACTCCCATAAACAACAAGAGCAGAAATCAAAAAGTGTCAAGGAAAAAGCCCAAACTGCAAGAACGGTCACTGCAGCAGCCTTCCAAACATTGTTCATAAACTATTTCAAGATTTCTGATTGCAACTACTATAAACATTTGAAATAGTTTCAAACGTCAGATCACAAAACTGTGGCAAACCAAATAAACAAAAAAAGGGCTCATTACCTGTTGCTTAGCTTATTCCCGTTGGGTGGGGAAGAGGGGACATATAATTGGCTGAAAGCACTGCATGACTCCCGAACTATACACAGAGATCTCATTAAGTACTAACACAAGTATCAAAATAACAAAAAGAAACTAAGAAGGAAATAAACCTTGCTTTGGCAAAAGATTTTACAGCTGTTGTTAGGTCAAAACTGGCCACTGCAGTAATGTACTGCAAGACTCTAGGATGCAGTTTAATTACATGTCCATGTAATGAAAAGCAGCTATATTCTATAATGAATGCTTGATGTACTCTGCAAGTTTAATGCCCCATGCAGTGTTCCTCCAATGAATTCCAGGTGCACTGAGCCCAAGAACTAGAATTGGTTACTAGCAACGCAATGGTCAGCTGAAGAAACTGAGACATTCTTTACAGCAAGTGAAGTTTAGGCTTTTGTTCACTAAATCTTAATGAAGTATCAAATTAATCCCTTCAAGTGGTGGAAAGTTAGATTTCTTCCCTTGTCCAATAATTTATTTCAAACAGATCAATTTTTTTTTCCAGAACACTGAAGAAGGGTCACTGGACCTGAAAGGTTAACTGTGCTTTCTCTCCAACAGATGCTGCCAGAGTTTTCCCAGCAATTAGTTTTGGTTTCGGATTTCCAGCACCCCCAGTTCTTTGGTTTAGGAATTTTTCTTTAGTATCACAATGACATTAGCTTAGCTTCAAGTAAATACTCATTTCTCTTTCTTTTCCTTCCTTGTTTTAAGTCCTACCTTTAAACAGTTGAATGAACAACTGGAAATTCCCTCATTTTAGTTTCTCGAAGTCCCTGATCTCTCTCTGTCTCTTAGTTCCATTTTCTATGCAGCCTCCTGAAACACTGACTAGTTTTCCTTCTATGTGAAAGAAAGAAAAAAAATCATGAACTTGACATTTTTAAAAATGCACTCACTCAAAAAAACCAAATTTCTCAGATGTTCACCTAGAAATTCTAAATTACAAAATAAGAATACCAATGGTATGAGACATTACAGTAACATTTTTACTTTTCATTCCTCTGAAGTTCTGCACAAAAAAAGCAGCTTAATTTACTATGTTTCTATACAAACTGTAGATTGAAAGTATCCAAACATTGAGATATTGGAGGTATACAATGCGTAGGGAAACCAGGAGCAAAATGTCAAAAGGTACCAAAAATTAGAAACACTGGTTTAATTGATGCTAGTTATGTAGGAATGAAGAGTCTAACAGGCACGATAACAAGTGAATATGCATGAGTCCAAGAAAACTAGAGTGCCTGACACAAGTTGTGAGTAGAAGCACTGCTTGCATGCAGCCAAGGAAGTGAAATATTGTTTCCACACTGAATAACTGAATAGTGTTAGCTGAAAAACCATCTTGATTAAGTGCAATTTACAATTAAAACACACGAAAATCCACTTATTTTGTGGAGGTGGTGGTGGGGAATGTATTTTTCCTTGAAATCAAGTAAAAATAAAAACTATAAATGCTGAAAATCAGGGCACTATCAATCAAGAAAAGTGCAAAGAGATCACTGGTTTGGTTGAAAGTCCTTCATTAAAACATGACAGTTCCAAAGAGTGGGAGGATTCAAGACCAAAAGATATAATTAGGACAGAGCGTAAGCTGGTCTTGGTAATGCAGGGGGTATGGAATACGTGGCTCATCTCAAGTTGAATAGGAAGCTAAATTTTCCAAATGGGCTGGTTTGATCTCTGAACGCAAATCAATCGGTGGCTACATAATAGTTGACGTAATACTACAGACAACAGTTCCTGATATTTATGGACTATTTCTGCTTCTTTAGTACTAGATGTCAAACAAATTTGAGAACTCAAAGTCAATGCAGTGGTTGATAGTCATGAGGTAAATCTAGGTACTTATGATGTGACAAGTTAAAAGGACCTTAACTGTGCCTTTTCTAATGATATAAATGGATATGTAATTGACAGCAAAGTTCCACAAAGTTTTTGCAATATCCATGAAGTAAAATGCCAAGGATTGTATCCTTTACCTCAGCATACAGGCTTGAATACAACAGGATAATCACCATGACACTGCAAATTTGCAGCTTGTAGCACAATACAAAAAAAAGTTAGTGTTTTCACTTCCAGTGTGCAGTTAGCAAACATGACATTGATAGAGCTTTTGTGGTCTGCTGAAATTCAAGTAGAGGTGCCCAGTTTATGTAGAGGGCACTGCATACCACCAGATCATATCATCATTAGCTTTGTATATTCATAAATGGCATGTTCTTATTCAAGAGGACAGGCCTTAACAGCCTAAATGTGAGGCACAAGGTAAGATTGCGTGGCTGCAAGCTCAAAGGTTGCTATGGAGCTCAAACCAAGTTCTGAAAGCTGAGTTCCCTGTATATTTTGGCTATTTTTGCTGGTGGGCATCGTGATAAAACATGTATGGTATATCAGAGTACGGAAGACGAAAACAGCAACACATTAAGATTTCAAAGCCTTACGTCAACCCTTCATTTACACTGACCTAATTCAATATGTGTTAGAGAGCAAGTGTCTGTAAACGACTCCAGTAATAGTGGAATAAACCAGTGTGGTTTACAACAAGTAAACATTGAAGGCCATTAACTGGCTTCCAGTTCAGAACAATTCAAGCATCGACTGTAATTTAGAAAATGTGGAAATTGAAAGTTTTTATGACAGTTCAGACAAGATCTGACTGGGGTCAGAAATATAGAGATAGTAGGAACTGCAGATGCTGGAGAATCGGAGATGACAAGGTGTAGAGCTGGATGAACACAGCAGGCCAAGCAGCATCATAGGAGCAGGAAGGCTGACGTTTCAGGCCTAGACCTTTCTTCAGAAATTTCTGAAGGGTCTAGGCCCAAAACGTCAGCCTTCCTGCTCGGCCTGCTGTGTTCATCCAGCTCTATACCTTAGGGTCAGAAATATAGTTACTTTTCTAAAAAGTTTTTCAGATCAGTCAAGGGAATAAATTAACTTAGTTTAAAAAATCTAATCATTTGTAGGACTTCCAGCCAGGATTGCTTGGTTAGAAATCGTCAGGTTATTAGAAGCTGAGAAAGTCAAATCTCTCAGCTTGCAAGTATTCACACAAGATTCTACAGTTTACAGCACAGAAACTGGGAAGAAGAAGGTGAATGTAAAAATATGCTACTCAGATGTAGTTTTTCTGCATATGAATCTGAATTGATAGGGTTGAGAAATAAATTGAAAACTTGAGATTTTTCTAAACTGTCTTCTACATCTAGTTTTTTTTGTCTTAAGTAATAAACTTTTATTCTGTTGTTAATGAAACTTTATAGCCTTACATGGCTGCATTTCAGTAATTGATCACCAGATTAACAAAAATATTTTTAAAAATCTATTGGGCCAGAATTCATTCTGGCACCGGACTTGTTCAGTAGTACCATTGGCTAGGATCAGCATGGCCTAACAGAGTGCTCAGAGCTCAGACTGCTGCTGCCGCAAAACAATAGGCTGTGAAATAAAACAAAAAAGACTGTCTGAAACAAGAACAAAGTGCTAAAGAAACTCAGTAGATGTTGTATCTATTGAGAAAAGCTGTTAACATTTAAAGTCTGATGTCCCTTCATCAGAATTGGACTTGAGAAAGTAAAGCAGTTCTGATGGCGGGCGGTCACTGGACTCAAATGTTAAATTGTTTTTCTCTCTAAAGATACTGACAGATCTGCAGAGTTTCTCCAACAATTTGTTTTTATTTCAAGAGCTTGAGAATTGTTGACATTACATTTTTTGTAGGAAGTTTGTCTTATCTATTTCCCATCAGCTAAATGCCTATTTCCCAACCCTAATAACCCCACACCCCGTCAAAAGCCAAAACCTTCCCCACCTGTCATCTCACTCAATTATGCTTGCTGCCCCACAATTTTTCACTGAGCCAGAGACATTAAAACTGGGTCACACCAGAAAACGTCTGGGAAGCACTGGTTTATGTTTGACTACATTAAAAAGGTACCAGACAGGTCCAAGTATATAGAAACAAAATCATAAGTAACCAGGCAGATACCATGCTATGCAGCAATGCAACACTTACACAAGTTTACTGGATTTAGCAACAAAGGAGGCATATTACAAACTAACTCAGTACAGAAATTGCATCTTACACCAGAAACTACCAAGTGTTTAGGCTGAGGAGCTGAATTGGTTGATCTCAGGTTAAACATTGTAATTGGACTCTAGACAATGGAATGAGGGGGACAGGGACAAGTACAAAATCCTATGACTTCATCAGTGCTGTTTCAAAAATGCGTGCCTGCAAACAAGACATTGGATGATTCTGGAGGTCTCAGTCTCCAAGTAATGCTCTACACTTCAAACAGCCTTCTAATAACCATTGGTGAAGGCCTTTGATGTTTCTTTCCAACCAGAGAGAGATGAGTTGCTGTGAAATTTCCTAATAAGAAAGTCAAAAGAAAAAAAAAAGTGAAGAAAAGAAGATAGAGTTCAATTAATGAAACACTGATCAGCATTTCACCCACTCCTCAACAACTCGTTTTATTCGACCCACTTTTAATCAATACTTTAGTGAAGCTTTGCTGATTCTTAAAACACTTCAAATTCTCAGGCTTACCACTACACTTTGCAATGTCAGGTCAAAATCCTGGAACTCCCTTTCCAATGGCATTGTGGTTGTACTTCCACCCCCATGGACTGCAGTGGTTCAAGAAGACAGCTCTGAACCAGCTTCAAGGACAACTAGGGATGGATAATAAATGCTGGTGCTGCCAGTGGCACCCACATCTGAAGAGTGAATTTTGAAAATATAAAGTATCTTTCTTGAAATTCAATGGCATATTTAACTTTGTTAGAAAACCACAATTGGATCTTTTGTGCAGTGATGCTGTCAAGGCCTACAGTCTTTGTAGTATCTTGACTTCTTACAAACACTTTTGTGGAACGTGAGCACTACTAACTAGGAAAGCATCTGTTGGTCATCCTGTGGACGGAATCAAATTTGGCAGAAATAGAAACACATTCCTCCTCCAGCCCTCCCAATATCCATGATTTCTTTAGCCGCAAGAGTTATATATACCTCATTCTTGAAAATACAATGTTTTGGCCCCTTTTTATACTGAATTCCAAAGGTTCACCACTTCAATGCATGAAGGAATGTCTCCTCACCTCAGTCCTAAAAAGTTTACCACTTATCCTTAAAGTATGAAGATGTTATCTAGACTCGAAACATTAGATTGTTCTCTCTCCATGGATGCTGCCTGACCCACTGATCCCCAGCATTTTTTTTGTTTCCATAGAAAACGTTGTTAGACTTGAAAGAGTGCAGAAAAGACATACAATGATGTTACTGGGATTGGAAGATTTGAGCTATAGGGAGAGGCTGAATAGGCTGGGACTTTATTTTATTCCCCTAGTGCGTCAGAGGCTGAGAGACGACCTTGTAGAGGTTTTAAAATCATGAAGGCATAGATAAAGGTGAATAGCCAAGGTGGACAAAGTCTTCCCCAATCTCCCCCCACCCCCCAGAGTAGGGGGGAGAAAACTAGAGGGCATACGTTTGAGAGGAGACAGATTCAAAAGGGACCGGAGGGGCAACTTTTTCTACACAGAGGATGGTGCACATATGGAACAAACTGCCAGGTGGTGGAGGAGTGGGTACAATTACAATTAAAAGGCATCTGGATGGGTACATGAAAATGAAGGGTTTGGAGGGATATGGGCCAAATGCTGGCAAATGGGACTAGATCAGTTTAGCATCACTGGTAAGTGTTGATGAACTGGACCAAAGGGTCTGTTTCTGTGCTGTACAACTCTGATTCTATACAGTTTGCCTGACTGCCTGCTGAACCTGAATGCTTACTTTCAATACTAGTGCATGAGGACACCCAAAGTCTGATTGAATA